CACATTTCCTGCAATTTCGCAGCCTGCTCAGCGGCTAAAAAACACCCCTTGCCCACCGGCACTTCTCGTAATTTTGCAGCCGGCCTCCCCTCGTGCAGCCCGCCCCGCACCCTCTCCGCCTGCCACTGATCACAGCGGACAAACCGGGGGCCACCGGGGAAGGCCGAGGCCAAAGAGCCCGGCCCAGTGGCTAGAAAACACCCCGAAGCCACCGGCACTTCCCGTAAATTTGCAGCCTCATGCAGACCGCCCCGCGCCCTCTCTGCCTGCCTAATACTGGCCCAAATCTTCAGAGATAATTCTCAAACCATCCTGACCTACCAGGAACAATACTAGGGGGAGAGAGAGAGCAACCTGACGAACGGACAAACACGCACACACGTTCCCTGGTCCACATACTTTCCGCGGCCAAGTTCTTCCCTTCCTATCCCTACCAAGACACAATCTGCTCCAGGCACCTGTCACCCTTAGAGCACAGGCTCCTCCCCAGCCGACTGGCTTGGCCTCCTCCAGTCCGTCTTTCCTCACCATCCCGTGGGTCAAACCAGCTGGTGTGCGAGCTTCCTCCCAGACTTCGGGCAAAGGCAGCTCCTGCCGGGGCATTTTTCCCAGCAGCAGGCACAGCAGCGGAGAGACGGACCTAGGCCAGAGGCAGCAGCCACCCCATGCAAAGGGTTCAGCAACCCCCTGCCCAGCCCAGCAGCTGGCACAGCGGGCTGGGGCAAGGGGTCACGGCGAACAAGGAAACCGGAGCCAAGCAGCTGACCAGGCAGTAGTCTCGCATCCTCAGCCACGCAGGGAGTAAGAAGAGGTTTCTGAATGTTGCAGGCAACATGCGACAGCCCAGGTGAGCCGGGCTGGCTGCCTGCCGTCTGTCCGTCCATCCGATAAGTGAGCCGGTCACCTCTCCACCACTTCTCTCTCTATCTTCAGCAAGAGACCCCCGAAGCCAGAGAAGGGGGCAGAGCTACGTTGCCATGGAGCCTGGTGCTTAGAGAGGTCGAGCCCACTTATTTTACCGTGCTTTTGCTTCCAGCGAAGTAGAACCATCAGCTTAGCTAAAGCTCCAGTGCCAAGCGCTGCCCACCTCCTCCTGGTTGAGGCGGGGAAGGGGAAAGGAGGAGGAGGAGGAGCCGCTGCAGCTTTTGACCGTGGGTTAGGCAGGTTAAGAGAAGCCAATCTGATAGCGGAGGGTGGGTGGACTCCCATGTGCTATTAACTTTGTTAGTAAATGGGAGGGTCAGGGGGGTTGGTCAAAGTTGCTTCATTTATTCATTCATTTATTGCACAATAAAATTATTTGAAACCAATATTTTGTGCTATTCTAATGCACAACTGCACAAATATGCATGTAATCTCTGAGGAGGTTATCACATCTGGGCTACAAAAATTTGGTTAAAGCATTCGTGTTTGCTGATCTTTATTTCCTTTTATAAACTGCTTTGATTCTTCCATTTATTGTTTAAAGTGGTTTAATACTTCCATTTATTTCCTTTTATTCCCTTAAAACTAGTTTGAATCTTCCATTTGTTGCCATTTATTCTCTTAAAACTGATTTAATTGTTTTGTTTATTTCTGATCCACGAAACCTATAACCTCCATGCCATTTCTCACTCTTTTTATTCCTTTCTGCTTTGCTTTTTATTCCCTCTCTTTCATATACTTTCTTTCATCTTCACTGAAAGAAAATCCCTCCAGGTCCCCACTATAATCTATGGTTCAAATGAAAGCAGCCTGTTCTTATTTGTTATTTACTAACTTTCTGTAAATTTTGGTTCCACATTTAAAGGCAAGATAAACACGCATTAAAATACATGCAGCGGCGGGACAGCATTAATGGTGGACGGGGCTGTCTTTCTTGCCATGCCCATTTGCTGGCCACACCTACTTGGTGGCCACACCCACTTGGCCACGCCCCCAGCACCTGGCGATGTATAAATGGGTTTCAGGTTGCAGTTTGGGCACTCGGTCTCTAAAAGGTTTGCCACCACTGATTTAATGGATAACCTTTGGATCAATTGCAACAGTTAAGTGTTGACCAGTAGCTGCCCAGGATGCAAAGGCTATTAAGGGCATGAACATGTCATTAGAAGGCCTTCCAGGGAACCAGGGTTGTTGCTAGACTAGAACAAAATACTGGAATCTAACCACCCTGAAGATGGCTTGAATTGAAAAACAGAGGTTTTGAATCAAAGCTGGAAAACACAGCAGTGGGATGCATTTCTGATAGATTGGGAATGGGAGAAGAATCATGCCATCTGATCTACACTCAAGAGGTGTTGGATGATCCTTACTAGTGATAGGCCAAATAGAAAAGGCAAATCTCCAGATGATACCAACATTGAACTGGGACAATAATACCATAATAGATTGGGCTAAGAAAAAAATTATTCAGCACGAAAAGGCATTTGAAAAACAGTTTTAAAAACATTAGAGGTGTTATCATGACAAAGCCAATGTATGGGCATTGTTAATACAGTATCAGTGTTTTTCAAACCTGACAGCATTAAGAAGTGTGGACCAATTCCCAGAATTCTCTAGCCAGCATGAAATTTGCACATCTTAATGTTGTCGAGTTTGAAAAACACTGGTTTCTAACAACAAATACTACAATCCATGGCTTCTTATAACGAAACTTCTAAATTTACATATTCCACTATCCTCGAATGAAACTCTTAGAGATCAGAAATAATAGGCATTTCCTGCTTTTTAATAATCATTTCCTCTTTTCTCTCTGTTACCCATTTTCTTCTTAGAATTCAGCCTGAACTTTTAGCCTGATTCTTCTAATATTTGATTGCAATTCTTCAGCTAAGAGAGCCAATCTAAGAGCTCTATGTAACAATATATTTCTTCATGCCCACCAAGGTTCCATCTCATTTTTTAAGAAAAATATTATGATAAACAAATATGCTAATAAAGAAATAATAATAATAAAGTTGGAAGGGACCTTGGAGGTCATCTAGTCCAACCCCCTGCTCAGGCAGGAAACCCTATACCATTTCAGACAAATGGCTGTCCGGTCTCTTCTTAAAAACTTCCAGTGTTGGAGCATTCACTACTTCTGGAGGCAGGTCATTCCACTGGTTAATTGTTCTAATTGTCAGGAAGTTTCTCCTTAGTTCTAGGTTGCTTCTCTACTTGATTAGTTTCCATCCGTTGCTTCTTGTCCTGCCTTCAGGCGCCTTGGAAAATAGCTTGACTCCTCTTCTTTGTGGCAGCCCCTGAGATATTGGAACACTGCTATCATGTCTCCCCTCGTCCTTCTCTTCGTTAAACTAGACATACCCAATTTCAACAACCATTCCTTATATGTTTTAGCCTCCAGTCCCCTAATCATCTTTGTTGGTCTTCTCTGTACTCTTTCTAGAAAGAGTCTCAAGATCTTTTTTACATCGTGGTGACCAAAACTGGATGCAGTATTCCAAGTGTGGCCTTACCAAGGCATTGTAAAGTGGTATTAACACTTCACGTGATCTTGATTCTATTTCTCTATTAATGCAGCCTAGCACTGTGTTGGCCTTTTTGGCAGCTGCATCACACTGCTGACTCATATTTAAGTGATTGTCCACTAGGACTCAGAGGTCCCTCTCACAGTTACTACTATTGAGCAAGGTACCCCCTATACTATACCTGTACATTTGGTTTTTCTTGCCTAAATGTAGAACCTTACTTTTTTTCACCATTGAATTTCATTTTGTTAGATAGCGCCCAGTGTTCAAGTCTGTCCAGATCCTCCTGTATCCTAAGCCTATCTTCTGGAGTGTTGGCTATTCCTGCCAGCTTGGTGTTGTCTGCAAATTTGATGATTTCCCCATCTATCCCCTCATCCAAATCGTTGATAAAGATATTGAACAGCACTGGGCCGAGAACAGAGCCCTGGGGTACCCCACTACATACTTCCCTCCATGTAGATGCGGTTCCATTGAGGACCACACGCTGAGTACGGCCGGTCAGCCAGCTACGGATCCATCTGGTGATGCTGTCTAACCCACATTTTTCTATCTTATCAAGTAGTAGGTTGTGATCTACTTTATCAAATGCCTTACTGAAGTCCAAGTAAATTATATCTACAGCATTCCTCTGATCCACTAATTTTGTCACTTGGTCAAAGAATGCAATAAGATTTATCTGGCATGATCTATTTTTGACAAACCCATGTTGGCTTTTAGTAATGACTTTTTTTGCCTCTAGGTGTTCGCTGATTCGTTGTTTGATTATCTTTTCCAGAATCTTCCTAGGTAATGAGGTCAGGCTGATAGGTCTGTAATTTCCTGGGTCCATTTTTTTTCCTTTTTTGATTATGGGAACTACATCAGCTCTTTTCCAATCCTCCGGTAGTTCCCCAGTGCTCCAGGATCTTTGAAAAATATATGCCATATGCAAAAACATATGCTATATGCAAAAACAAAAACATATGCCATATGCAAAAACAAAAACAAACACCTAGCTCCTAGCATCCAGTATCCCATGATTTAAAGGAGCACCTCTGAGATCCACAAAGGGTCCACGGAATTAAGAGGAAACATCCTGAAGTCTTGTTTATGTTCTGGTTAATGGGAGTTTTGTGAGGAATCTTACTCACCATGGCAATCCCTTCCTGAATACAGGACTAACTAACCAAATGCTATTTAAATCCCAAAAGCACCTGCAGCTGTAAAATTTTATCTGTTAACAACACATACACACAAGATTAGAGATGCTTTCACAAGCTCTTGCTCTAATATATGCTATCATCTGCCAGCAATTCCCCTCTGGATTCTCTATAAGACAAATGGGAGAAACTTTGTGCAAAAAAAATAAATGGACATCAAATTGACATCAGAACTCAAAACAAAGGCAAAGCAATATCAGTACTTCAACATTCCAGGACAAAAATTATTGCAGATTCTCAAACTGACCATTTTGAAAAAGAATAACAGCACAGCTTAAAAGGGCTCAACGCCTGCAGTGATTTTTAATACTTGTTAATCAATAAGTTACTTGTAATCTGTCTCACATGTAACCTGTATCTGTATAATCACCCTTGTTTTTCCCTTCTTCTGTTTCAGACATAATAATTGGGGGAAATAGTCTTTTTTTTTCCAGCAGTCTTTCCTACACCCACATCTTCAGATTGCTTCCTTTTTCTAGAATGGTAAAATATTACCATAAAGACTAGTTTCAGAATTTGATTCATCTTCCTTTGATAAGCAAAATACACCTAGAACAAAAAGAGAAAAAAGGGAAGCGGAATTATTTTTCAGTTGCTTTCATTTGAGTCCTGGTCATAGTTATTTTCTGCTTTTTCTGAGATGGGGAGTGTGTGGAATTTGTTTGTTTTCCTTTATTCATCTGTAAGGTCCCAGTCCCTTACTTGAACTTGAGATACCATATCAATCTAATCAGGTAACCCAAACAGAGACTTCTTGATCAAGCAGCACTTTATTTGATCAAATTAAGCATCTGGGTGGCCAAGCTGGCAGAATTATGTCCAGAAGTGCCATGCATTAGAAAATTGGTAGCATTGCTTTATAAATTTTGTTAGCCAATGAAAATCAGATACAGAGCCATTACATCATAAGAAAGACATCAATCATTCCTGTATACTCCCTTATTCCCTCCTTCAATATATCACATTCGTGTACATGTTTCCCACACTTGCATGAAATGTTTCTGGTGCAAAAGCTGATTACAAAAAGAAAGAAAGCAACAGTTAGACTAAACAATTTTTCTTTGTTCCAGAACCCTTCACATCTAATTAGTCGAGAGAGAGAAATTTTAAAAAGACTTCCTCTAGAACAGCGGTTCTCAACCTGTGGGTCACAACCCTTTTGGGGGTCGAATGACGCTTTCACAGGGGTTGCCTAAGACCATTGGAAAACACATATTTCCGATGGTCTTAGGAATCGAGACACCGCTCTTCTATCCGGCCACCACCACCCTCCTCCTCTGCCGGCTCCTCCACCTCCAGGATGCCCTTTTCCTCCAACAGCGCCTGCTCCTGCCACCGCAGCCCATCCTGCAGCAGCCATGCCAAATATCAGCTGCTGGCCGGGAGCCGGGCCGACTCCCAGCTGATTCCCAAGAGCTGGGCCAACAAGTGGAGGTGCCCACGCCAGCTGATGTGTGCACGCCACGCCGACTCTCAGCTGGCTGTCGGGAGCCGGGCAGTGTGTAGCAGCCCCACCAGTTCCCCACCGACGTCCGGACATCGACCCGACTCCCAGCTGACTGTCGGGAGTCGGGCAGTGCTCATGGGGGCCATGCGAATGTCAGCCAGCTGCTGGCTGCATCCTCCCCATCTCCCAGCTCATGGCAAGCCCAGGGGCTTGACACGCACCCCCAATGCCGCCCCGGGCCGGCTCAGCTGCATGGGCAGCCGGTCCAAGCTGAGCCGGGTCTGGGCCACTGCTGGTGCTGCCACTGGGCTGCTCCGCTACTGCCTCTGCTGCTGTCTGAGCTAAGCTGCTGCGCCGAGCTGGTCCCCATGCCTCCTGGTTGCCCAGCCGCGCTCTGCTCCTGGCCATCCTCCACGTCACGCCGGAGCTTCCCCTGCGCCGCCTGGCCCGCTTCCCTCATCGTCGTAGGCCGCCTCGGCCCTCTGACACCTGGCGCAGCCCTGGGGCTGGTGGGCAGGAGCGACTCCTTCCCAGCTCGCTGGGCTCCGGGCCTTGGAAGCGGCCAGGCAGTGGGGAAGAGGGCAATGCCCACATGTGCATCGGAGGCCAGCCAGATGGGCCAGGATGGGAGAAGCAGCGCCTTTCGAGTGGGAGCTGACACTCCGGCCGTGCCCCTCTCACGTGTGATGAGTCGGGGAAGGGTCATGGCGGTGAAGGGCTGCACGGCATGGAAAGGGGCTCCCATGATCCCACCGCTGTGATGGTGCTCAGGAGGCTGGAGAGGCGGGCAGGTCCTAGGGGGCAGCTGGGAGAGGGCAAGAGATGCCGGGATGAGGATGGGGGGCTCCAGATTACCATCCCCAGCAGCCCTAAAAAGCACTGTGGAAGAGTGAGGAATGCTGGGAATTGCAATTCATCACCATCTGGGAAAACATGACTCTCCAAAGATCAATCCTTCCTTCCATCCATCCATCCATCCATCTCCATCTCCATCCCTTCCCCTTCAATCTCTCTCTCCTTCCTTCCCCCTTCAATCTCGTTCCTTCTCCATCTCCTTCCTTTCCCCTTCAATCTTCCTTCCTTCCTTCCATCTCCATCTCCATCCCTTCCCCTTCAATCCCTCTCTCCTTCCTTTCTTCCTTCTTTCCTTCCCCCTTCAATCTCCTTCCTTCTCCATCTCCTTCCTTTCCCCTTCAATCTTCCTTCCTTCCATCTCCATCTCCATCTCCATCCCTTCCCCTTTAATCTCTTTCTCCTTCCTTCCTTCCTTTCCCCTTCAATCTCCTTCCTTCTCCATCTCCTTCCTTTCCCGGTTCAATCTTCCTTCCTTCCTTCCCGTTCCCTCCCTCCCAACATTTTTGAGCAAGGAAGAGTAAGCTTCTCCAGCGAGCATTGCTATATTGTTTTTGTGATTAATCACTATGCTTTAATTATGTTCAATTCGTAACAATGAAAATACACTCTGCATATCAAATATTTACGTTACGATTCAAAACAGTAACAAAATTACAGTTATGAAGTAGCAACGAAAATAATTTTATAGTTGGGGGTCACCACAACATGAGGAACTGTATTAAAGGGTCGCGGCATTAGGAAGGTTGAAAACCACTGCTCTAGAATTTTTATGTCTTTCCCATCCAAAATGGCAGGGAGCCCTTTAACCATTTTTCAGCATTTATAATAAATGATCTGCATCTGGATAAATGGTTATTTTATATATTTATTAGGCCTAATAAAAATAAAAATAATATGCAATACTCAATATGCGTGTATGAGTGTAAATGGTATTTTAATATAATTAACCTAAAAAAATTAGGCAAGGAAATCATGATTTGAGCTGTCATTTATGATGAATCGATTGAAATCAAAAGGAATATATATTAATGTATGTTAATTCCTATTAAATATTTTATCCAGATAGAAAAGTTAATGAGAATGGTTTTGTATATCAAATTATACCCACTTAAATAATGTTGGGCAATTGAAGTCCATATGATCAAAAACTTTAACCTACTAGATTTTTAACTATAAGTAAATAATTTAATTCTTTAGGAAATTATTGAAAGAGCAATATTTCATTCCCAATAAATCACCTGACATGAAGGACATTATTATTTTTCATGGGTAGTTCCATATAATGAAATTATGGATGAGTTCTGATGATTGGAATAAATTTTGTAGCACCAAGAGCACTTTAATCCAAACTTTTATCTCTATTCTTTTTCTGCCATCATCACTCACCTTTCTTTACCAAAAGATAAAGCAAGGCAGCCAGAATCAGAATGGCAACGCTAAGAGATCCCAATATTATCCAATTTTTCTTCCCTATAGAAAGGATGAATAATTCCAATTAGATAAAGAAGAATAAGTGCCCCTCCTTGATTCTCACTACAGAGGCAGAACCAGCAATTTGTAATCCAGGCCCAATCCTCTCCTCTATTTTCTCTTTAAAACAGTCAAGCTATTTACATTCCTTTACAGTTCTGTTCTCTTTTCTTTTTTTAACTGAATAGAAAAACCAGATCAAAGGGGGAACAATATACAAACTTATCAAGAAATAAAAATCAAAGAAGAAATTCATATATATATAATATATAAAATTATACCTTTTAATAACTTTTCTATTATCTAGGTGAAAGAAGCTTATTTTTCCCTTTTTATGTTACTGTACTAATTGTATTAATATAATGTTGTTGTTAGTTGCAAAATCGTGTCCGACCCATCGCGACCCCATGGACAACGTTCCTCCAGGTCTTCCTGTCCTCTACCATCTTCTGGAGTCCATTTAAGCTCACGGCTACTGCTTCAATGACTCCATCCAGCCACCTCATTCTCTGTCGTCTCCTTCTTCTATTGCCCTCAATCTTTCCCAGCATTAGGCCCTTCTCCAGTGAGTCCTTCCTTCTCATTAGGTGGCCATAGTGTTTGAGTTTCAACTTCAGGATCTGGCCTTCTAAAGAGCAGTCGGGGTTGATCTCTTCTAGGACTGACGGGTTTGAATGCCTTGCAATCCAAGGGACTCGCAGGAGTCTTTCCAGCACCATAGCTCAAAGGCCTCAATTCTTTTGCGCTCAGCCTTTCTTATGGTCCAACTTTCACATCCATACATTGCAACTGGGAAAACCATAGCCTTGACTATACGCACTTTTGTTGGCAGGGTGATGTCTCTGCTTTTTAGTATGCTGTCTAGACTAATACAATACAGTGATGTTTATATAATATAATTAAAGATTATTGATATTTAATTATTTACGTAGCTTAGAGTATTGAAAAGAGAAGAAAAGAAAAATATCCTGTCAATATTAAGATATTTAAGATACAGTTTAAGATATCAGTATTTCAAGAATAAAATTATTTAGTTTTTTGGATGAAAAATCTGAATATTCTACTACAATGTGCATTAAGTGATTTGTTATATGATGAAAATGTTTATCTGAAGCTGATTATTTAATATTAAAGTCTCCACTGCATTGTTAATTGATGTGTATTTGAGTATTTATTTACACATTAATAAAAGGAAAAGGTAGATAAACAGCAAATTTAGCAAGAATACAAATAGTGAAAAATAAAAATAACAACAAACCATTGGGTTTCTAACTTCCCTCTAATTCTTTATTCCATTTAACAATTATTATTTATACAACTAACTGAGAATTTTTACAGCTGAAAATTCAATAGAAAAAAAGAACAAGAGTCATTTCCTAGAAATAATATACTACAACTTTCAAATAAATGTAAAAATATTTGAAATGTATTACATTTTTATTTCAAAGCAGTCCAACTAATTAACACATAATGCAGAGTCCAGGAAGAAGCATTTCCACTAAGGGGAGTCTCCCAAAATGTGGTACCACATTTCATTTTGATAATTAAATCTTTATTTGTATAAGAAGAAACAATCTTTCATTTGCTAAATTAAGATTATCCATGTTTGCTAAGTGGTATATAGCAATTCTCAATATTAATGAAAACTGATAAAAGTAATTTATTATTTCTTCAGTGCAGTTAAGCACAATGGAGCCCTCTTGTGGAAAGAAAGATGCATTTTCAAGGGAATCCATTATATCATTTAGGACAACAGAATAAAGCACAAAATTATACATAATCAGTGCTTCAGTATTAAAGTCACACTCCAATTATTATTTTAACTCACCATTGAAACTTGGAATCCCATTGATCTGATCATGTTCACAGGAATGGAAATTATCCTCTAGTCCAAAAGAAAACAATAAAAGGTCACAAAGAGGCTAAGAATAGCACAGAGAGAAAGATCTCCACAATGTTACATCTGTGTATATTCTGACTGTACAATTTTGCTAAAGAAACCTTTTGGAGGATTGTCTGTCTATGACCAAACGATTATGAAGGGAGAAAAAATTAAATTATGATTCCTTGTTAGGGTCCCACTTGTTTATTGTAATTGCAGAAAGAGGAAATGGTTCTGTATTGTACCATACAATAGTAGTCAGTTTCTGGTGTTCCTATCATATATTTCTCCTTTGATTCAGAGGTTAGTCATATGTTGGAAAGTGGTCAAGTAAGGCCAGCAACACAGTGCATTCATCTCAAAATTAATATTTAAACTTTTGGGCACATGTAAATAAAGCATAATGAATACTTCCTATACATTTTCATCAACTCAGACTGCTTTGTAAATTACTTAAATATGCAGCTGACATAGAAATGGGAACATTGGAAAGATACTGCTGCCTACCATCTTTTTAGCAGTTTTTTTTTTCGCATATGACAAAAGTATCCAAAATCTCAAAAACAGTTATAAACAATATTTCAGTAATTGCTTCTTTATTTTAGGAAAGAAAATCAAGCTTCTCAGGATCAGATAAGAAACAGTATTTCCCTTTCTGCCCCTCCCTCCCTGGTTTAGTTACTCTAAATCAGATAGTATTGTCTGAAACCGTATTTACTCAAACTTAGATTTGGAAATTGTTCCCCATTCCTCAAAAATCACTTTTATATTTTATATATGCTTACAAATATTTCTACCTTTTGCATTAACAGTTCTGTTAGAGCTAAAGAGTATTCTTAATATATAGGGTAGGATCAGCAACAGCAGCAAAGTTGCGATTAGGAACATATTTTAAAACAAAATTGGAGTATATAAAGTACAACACTCCACAAACTAATAATGTATTTGTTATTTCAATGGTTTTTGGAAGCTTCTTAATACTTACCTGGAGAGAGAGTCAGATTCCAGAATGAACTGAGAGCAGACTTTGTTAGTTTTGTTCAGTGGTGGCGAACCTATGGCACGGGTGCTAGAGGCGGCACTCAGAGCCCTCTCTGTGGGCACGCATGCCATCGCCCAAGTCCTAGGCCTTCAGCTGGGTTTTATAAAACCTTTTCACTTTAGGCTCCGCCACCGTGTGCAAAAAAAAAAAGGTTCAGTCAATTTCAACTTCTCGCGGGAAAAAAAAGATCTTGCATAGTTGGAATTGATTGATTGAACTTTTTAGTCCCATCCAGTCTGTCATTACTACTGCAGCCATGCCCATCCAATTGGCTACGCCCATCCAATTGCCACACCCAGCCAATGGGCCACACCCACCCGGCACTCAACGATGCATAAGTGGATTTTGGGTTGCAGTTTGGGTACTCAGTCTCTAAAAGGTTCGCCATCACTGGTTTAGTTCCTCTTTATGCTCATACCCACAGGAATATTGTCCAGTAGAGTTTTGCATAATATTAAATGTATATCTAACCATGCTCAATATTGGTTTGTGAGCAGAAACAAGAGTCTTATCTTTGCAGAAAAAAAATCTTGTTATATTATTTGTTGTAGAAAGTATACATAACAGTGAAACTGAGTCTCCAATATCAACAGATCCTGCTTTGTGAAACAGCTCAGGAGCTGAAAGTTCACCTAAACAAAGAAACAGAGCAGAAATGAAACCAATCCCAGGCGAAATACTGATATTTCTAAAGAATTTGAAAATTTTGGGGTAGAATGGACACTTCTCTCTCTCTCTGTCTCTCTCTCTCTCTCTCTCTCTCTCTCTCTCTCTCACACACACACACACACACACACACACACACACACACACTACACACACGAACAAATACAAAGGCATACATATCACCATATTTTTATCTGTAATATTTTTATATACTTATGATGAATTTCATTGCCAAATCTAGAAATGTTTAAATTTTAAATGGCTTTTGCTTTTTATATCATTTTGTTATGCAAAATTAGATTCAGATTTCTCTCCTATTCCTAGATCTAGTCACACACTGTTCTGCAGAGAATCTGTTCCTTGACTCCATGGACTCACAACAGGGATTTATGATTTTTCAGATATGTACAAAGAGGATGTGATAGATCAGCGGTTAAAGATGCTGAGTTCTTAGAGTCAGAGTATTTTGCTTTTTTCTGTAGATCTAGATTCTAGCACTTTTAATATAGAATCTAACACTTTATCTCTGAGTGATGTATATAACCCTACCATTTTTGTTAATTCTTATCTGTTGGTTTATTTTTTATTATTATTGAAAATTTTTTAAATTTTACAAAAACAAATCCCCTTCCCATACCCCCCCCAACCCTACCTCACCCCCCCCCCTTCCCAACCTCCCAAACCCTCCCCTGGACTTCCCAGAGCTGAGTACAGGCTTAATTAAAAAAAGAAAAAAAACTTAAAACACTTTTAAAACCTAAACAAATTTAAATACAATCAATTCTATATAAACTCCCTCCAAAAACACAAATTTAAACATTACTTTCTTTGAATATCTATATCTATAGTGTAAAATCTAATTTCTCCCTCTTTCTTTATCCTAAAACGAAAAAATAAACATATAAACCTTTGTTATACCATTAAAACTAAATACTCTTAAAAAACTTAAAGTAAATACATATTTCCTTCAATCTTCATAATCTTCTCTCCTATCCAAAAAGAAAAAACTTAAAAAACCTATAAGTCCTAAACAAATCTAAGCACATTTAATTAAACAAATTATTTTCTCTTAAAAATATTAATAATAATATTTGAAAACTAGAAACACTTTTAAATCCTAAACAAATCTAAATACAATCATCATTCTATATAAACTCCCTCCAAAAACACAAATTTAAACATTACTTTCTTTCCTAAACAAATCTAGACATTTAATTAAACAAATTATTTTCTCTTAAAAATATTAATAATATTTAAAAACCAAATTTAAGCATACTTAAAACTTGAACAAGTTATACTCCCTTCAAAACACAAATTTAAACATTACTTAAAATTTAAAACATTAGAATCCCCTCACTAAAATGAGCAAATTATAATCCCTTCAAAACACAAATTTAAACAATATTATCATTAAAGGTTCAAAACTTAAAACAACAAAATTCCCTTATACGCCTATCCATAATAAACACATTAAACATTTCAATCTTCACCAATAACAAATTCCATCCGTAAGAAACTGCATCCTTATCAGTCTCAATTATATTAGTATTATTATTAATTATTCACATTCCAGTTTTTTCCATTCTCCATTCTTCCATTCTTCCATTTCCATTCTCCATTCTTGTATCAAACTCGTAAGAAATGCTGCAAGTTCTGCCTTAGGAGACTGCTCCAAAATTCCTGAATCTCCCATCGACTCCGAAGCCAATACAGGTAAGGGTTCCTTGAATTCCTCCTTGTGTTGGTCTTTACAATTGTAAGTTATACAAGTTATCCTCTGCCCGTTCCTCTCTTGTTGATGCCCCTCAAACTGAGATTTCCCAATTTCCATTTCAGGCAGCAATTCCACCCTTGAAAATTGCTCCAAAGACTTTGTAGGTCTAACATCTCCCAGAGATTCAGAGACCACTGAATATGAAACTTCCTTAACCTTCTTCTGTTGCTGCTTTTCTTTGGAATTGTATGCTGCACAAGTTGTCTTCTGCTCCTCAACCTGGACTTGTTGAGGCCTCTCACACAAAGATTCGCCAGTTTTCATAAATATAGGCTCTTCAAACTGTAATTCTACATTCTTTTCTTCCAAAGCTTTAAACTTAATAGATGGCGATGCACATACCCCCAGGACCAAAGTATAAAAATCTTTTGCTTGAGAAACAGTATTAAGTCTATAACATGTCCCCAGGTAGTTCACCACCATTCCAGTCGGAACATCCCATCTGAATAAAATTTTTCTCTTTTTAAGTTCATTTGCTAGAAAAGCAAACTCCTTTCTTCTTCTTAAAATTTTAGATGGGATCTCCTTAAAAATTATAACATCTTGTGAAGCAATTTGAAATCTCTTCTTATAATAGGCTTGCACAATTTCATTGCGTAAAGATCTTTTACCAAAGTAAATTACCACATCTCTTGGCAGATTCTTCTGTGCTGCCACCACAGAGTTAACCCTAAATAATTTTTCAATTTCACTAAGTATTCCCTCTTTTTCTTTATTCAAAATCAATGCAAAGTCCTTTGCAACCATCTCTTTCAGATCTCTTTGCAAAGACTCTCCCAGGCCCCTAATTCTTAAGGCATATTCCATTTGTCCATATTGAAGCATAAGAATCTCATTTTCCATTTCTTTTTCCATACTTTCAATTTTCCCCTCCATTATGTCCACTTTTTCAGCTACCTCTTCCACATGGGAGTTCACCTTTTCAAGAACAGAAGCAACTCCTTCTAAAGCCAAAACAAAATCTTGTCTCAAGATCTTATTATTTTCCTCTAAAATCTTTTTCATTTCTGCCCTAATTTGAATTATAACATCTCCCATCATGTTTTGCAAATCCTTCATAGTTATTAGCTGACCCCCAGAAGAGGGTGAAACTGTTGATTTAGAAGCTGTAGAAATCCCTGGACGCTTTGGAGCCATCTTAAAGAAAAACCTTTAGTCCTTCTTAAAAAATTATAAAAATTCCTTCAAAAATCATAACTCCCTCCAAAGAAGGTCATTATAATAAAAAGAAAAAAGGGAAAAAAAAGAAGAGAAAAGGAATTAAAAAAAAGCTTTACTCCTTCTTAAAAATTGCAAAAATTAAACAGAAAAAAGTCCTTCAAAAAAGGGTCATTACAATAAAAAGAAGGGAGTTCAAAGAAAAGAAAAAAAAAGGGAGAAGAAAAAAAAATAATTAAATAGAAAAAGTCCGTTCCAAAAAAATACTTAGAGATACCAAAAACAACCATTCCAATCATAAGAAAATAAAAAGGGAAAGGGAAAGGAAAGAAAGAGAAACACCAAAAAGCCTGCCGGTCAGCATTCTAACTTCCAGAAAAAAAACACTGAGAGATTTGCCGATCGCCATTTTACTTTCCCTTTCAACAAAGAAAAAAAAATAATAAAAAGAGAGAATAAAAATAGAAACAAGTCTTAAAACTTAAAATCCAAATAAGTCAAAGAAAGCAAAAACTAAATCCTCTACTCAGCTCTGTCCGTTTATAAAAAAAAAAAACTCACCAGTTCTCTTTAAGCACGGAGGTGTTTGCAGCGGCTCGTTTTGTCCCTGAGGACAAAAACAGCTGGGAAGCGGAGACAAGTCTGAACTCCGTGGGAGCACTCCTTTCACCCCCCCCCCAAAAAAACTTGGGGGTTGCAAAAGAGGCTCTACCACTATTCAGACACTCTCTACCCCCCCCCTTTGCCCGGGAGGGGGATTTTGAACCGCTGAACAGCTGATGTCTGCTGTTCATAGCGGTTCTTACACTTACCCAGGAGGACGGCTACAAAGTAGCCACCATCGCGCGCGCAAAATCCACCGGAAGTTCCGGTTTATTTTTAATAGTAGTTCTGGATCACCCCATCTGAACATATATTAAATATTTCCTTTTTTTTTTTATAAAAAAAAAAAGGAAATATTTAATATATGTTCAGATATATTAAATGTTTTTTTATATATCTATTAATCTGGAATCCTAAAAAATATAATGTCTTTGATTTCTCTGTATGATTAAATGGACCTAAACTCACCTGTAGAATTGCAGAGCTCCAAATCTTGACTGCTAATAATCCGAATCAAAAAATAGTGTGCTGCAAACAAAATATCTGTAATAGCAACAATGGAATGAAATAATAAGTGTTTTGCAAAAAGAAGAAGAAAGAGTGTTCATAATTCTCTTACCTAATGAATAGCATCAAGTATATTTGTTTAAATGGTTTATAACAAACACATGCTGCTTCTACATTTGTAACAAAAATAAACATTTTCTAAACACTATCATATTTTAAAACAATGATGACATATATTTCAACACTGAAAGAAATGAAATAATATGTTTTCTCAACCTTGAAGCCTCTCACCCCCCCCCTTTCCCTCAAGATTTTAGGAAACGTACTGACAAGCCAGTGGAAGATTATCTTTTGTTTGGTGATACAATTCTTTTTCTCTTC